GAACATTAAACGGACAGCAAACAATCCACTTGTTTTAAAATAATATATTCAAAACAAGTAAAACTTATGTACACAAATTATTTACACTATAGGATATCTAAAACTCTAAATAATTCTCTTTTCTTGTCAAAAATCCACACAGGCTAATTCAATTACTTTAAAACCCAACTGACAAATTCTTCTTCTTTATCTCTGTTAAACTCACTTTAGATATTTCCAATAACGGCTAAATTAGCAATCACGCAGTCTAAGTTCACTTTCACTAACTTACTTTAAATTCTTACTTACACTCTGTATCTGCAAGTATTTATAACCCGCAACAGAAAAATCTAGAAATAGTGGGATTGACCATCACATTATAACGCCCCCACAGCTGAAAGGACGAGCATGTTTGGAGTGACGGGGGATTCGAACCCGCTATCCACAGATTGCGTGTCGAGCGCCCTAACCACCTGGCCATATATTTATAGACAGATGAACTTACCTGAAATACTTTAAGTTTCAAGCAAGTTTTGTTTGTTCACGAGAGGTCGTCATATCGTTTACACTTGCAAATAATTACGTTATAAATTATTTCCTTTGAGAAATCCGGCCTGCATTCTTCCAACACTATCACGATGTACAATGGTACTTTTAGAGGCTACTATAACTGGAAAGGAACAGATACGGATGTCATTGCACCCAAGAATGATCGTCAGTGACTCAAATGTCAAGTCCTTCTTTTTGTTTTTGCATAACGTTGTTCTTCAAGTAAAAACTACTACTAAATAAAAACCTTCATTTAATTACATTATTTGTAATGTGGTATGGTCCTTGGTTTTAGACCAAATGAAAAACACTAACACATCGACGGGACTCGACCACACAATATCTCGACCTATAAGTGCATATCGTAGTCTGAAAGTTCATAGTTTCAAAACAGAACTATCAATTAGGCCCGGCATGGCCAGGTGATTAGGGCGCTCGCCTCGCAATCTAAGGGTCGCGGGTTTGAATTCCCGTCCCACCAAACATGCTCGCCTTTTCAGTCGTTGGGGCGCTATAACGTGACAAAGATTCGTGAATAACAGGTAACGGTATTCTTGGAAACCCTTCCAAGAGACTCATTACTTACTCTCAGTAAAATATTGGCTCCCTGTGGCACAGCGGTATGGACCAGGCTTTCTTAAGTGTCCAATTTAATGTCGGCAGTGTTCTGGTGCAAATTTCTTTAAGTATGTATCTTACAGTAACATAATTTCTACACGATAGATGATGAACAGAGCTTTCCCAACATATGTTAAGTTTTTATAGCAAACCAATGAAATAAATAATGGTGGGGTGTTAAAAGTAGCATGTCGCCAGCAGAAAAATTTAATTTCAAATAATACAAACAGAAAAATTGTAAGTACGACTCAAGCCTTTATTTTGATTAATTAGTAAACATTTATATTTTTAAAATGTGTTATTGGCTGATTGTCCTATTACTTTTCAAATATAAAAATATTCAAAATAACACGTCATCTGTTCTCCTTTACGGTTGTTTATTTTCAAGACAACAATTACAAATAAAGATTAGTTTATTTTTTTGAATTTCGCGCAAACCTACACGAGGGCTATCTGCGCTAGCCGTCCCTAATTTAGCAGTGAAAGACTAAAGGGAAGGCAGCTAGTCATCACCACCCACCTCCAGCTCTTGGACTGCTCTTTTACCAACGAAAAATGGGATTGATCGTAACATTATAACGCTCCCACGGCTGAAATGGCGAGCATGTTTGGTGTGACGGGGATTCGAACCCGCGACCCTCAGATTGCGAGTCTAACCACCTGGCCCATAAAGATTAGTCTAAAATCAATCCGGGAAGTATATAATTTGATTTGATCACGCCCCAAACGCAGGGTATCAAGAGATATTTTGGGTATGTCCATTTGGAGCTTGTACTAAAATTATTATTCTTTTAGGCACGTGATCTCCTTTACGCATACATCTAGTGTAGATATCAAATTGTCATTTTGTTATACACAACAGCCAATACATTTGTTGTTATCAAGAACTGAAAAGGTAGAAGTAAATCGCATTATTCGATAAAAATCACTGAACACGAGATTGGGTGAACTCCTTTACCTCTGAGGGGAATATATATAGAGTGTATAATGCTTTCCCCGCCATATTTAGTTTCCACTAAGTGCAGATGATTAGAGTAGAGTGGATTAGAAATGTATCAGTCACAGTTCAACTCATTTTCCTGCAAAAAAAGTGGGATTACTTAGCAGGTGTATAACTAGCATTCAAATGGTGATAGTTTTAGGTTTAAATGACTGACACATCACAAAACTAAATTTGTGAGCGATAATTAAAGGTGTATTTATAAAAACAGATAATTGGGGACATGGATAGATGCATGTAAATAAGTTCACAAAATGGGTAAAGGAGATTACCATCTTAATTCAACTCTTTATACACATGCTTTGCACTTCTTAGTATAATACCACATTATAATAATCAAAGCATACGTTTACGACACGTGGAAGTAGTCTAATACAAAATAACTATTCTTATTAGCCTGCTATAGCTGAATTTACTGTAGAAATTTACAGGAGATCACATTAATTTCTACACCTGTCTTTGCTAATATACAGAGGTGGTATGCATCTCGGTGATGGGTTTCATATTTGTCCTTTTAGAATGGATGGTAAACAAAGTCAGCAGCAGAAGGGAAAACCTTCTTACAAGTTGTTTTATTTTATGTACAATATAATCTGGTAAAGGAGAACACGTGTGAAAAACAGTAGTCATCTTCAAGGTGAAAATATGACAGAATGTAGCGCGAGTGCTAGATTTTTCAGAACTGTATAAATCATACTTGTAGATTTTTTTCAAAAAACATTTTCCTGTTGAAAAGTAAGAAATCCCGGGTTTCAATACCCGTGGTGGGCAGAGCACAGAATCAGATAGCCCATTGTGTAGCTTTGTGATTAACTACAACCAAACAATGAAACAATCTATTTACAAATTACTCATGTTATACATCGCCATCCACACTTAGCTCAATACGGGTTTCCTTAACTGTGACCAAAGATGCAAATATCACCTGTCAAAGACCCTTGCCCAAGCTGTTAATACCCACCAAGACGCTATGTGCTACAGGCGGTGCTTAATAATGTACATTTTGTTTTATAACGAATTAAAACACAATTACTGATAAATTAATATTTTACATAATCATTATAGCTATTTTTATAACTAATTCAATAATTATTGGTACAGGTATGAAATAGAAACCCACTAAAACTGTGAAGATTTGTTCTATCTTTGAACTGAATGGGTTTACCAAAATAATCCCTGTTCTTTTTAGTTTTGACATATTTCAAATATGTCAGTGATGTAATTGTACCCAAGGTACTATGTTCCTTCTATGACAATTGACTTGAAAACTGTTTTATTAATTTGTTTGTTATGAATTTCGCGCAAAGCTACACGAGGGCTATGTGCGCTAGCCGTCCCTAATTTAGCAGTGTAAGAATAGAGGGAAAGCATCTAGTCATCACCTCCCACCGCCAACTCTTGGGCTGCTCTTTTTACCAACGAATAGTGGGATTGACCGTCACATTATAACGCCCCACGGCTGAAAGGGGCGACCATGTTTGGTGTGACGGGATTAATTTGTAAGAGGAAAATAATTTATTTAATGAAAACTGCGTATCTCTAAATAATAATTTATGAAAGAGCTATTACTTTTAGTCTGTAATAAAACAGCCCTTCGTGCCCTAGTTTCTGGTAGAGGAGACGACGCTTTGTCGAGAAACATAACGCTCCCATTTAGGCGGTAACCAACTATTGTTTACGTAATCTATAATAACGGCTGCCTTCATACTCCATGACAATTAACGGTAAACAATGTTGGTGCATAAAATAGGAAAATTAATGTGCCATAATTAACATGTATACGATATTTGTGGCCTTAATGATAATACATTTCTTCGCCATCCGTCCCCAAGAAGCATCACCGAATCACACGTAATTCGAGTCTTCCTAGTCAAGGAGCACAAAATATATAATTTAATCACTTTTACAGGTTTTCCTGACTAATGGGAACCATCTCAAAAGTTAAATTTAATCCTGAGCTACATAGTTAACTTACTTTGTAGAAATTTAAATAGTTGAAAACCAGATAACTGGTTTTTTACAGATTTTTAAAGAAATATTTCCCGTAGTAACACGCCAGGAAGTAAGGTTCAAACAAACCAGACAGGGGGTATAATAGTTCAACAGAACGGGGAAAATAACTGTACTGGTGTAGTGTGTATGGTAGGACCAAAAACAGCACTTTTCTCCACACGTTACAACAGATTCAACTGGCAGTTAAAATTTCCATTCTATAAAAACAACACAGAAACTGGAAGTTGGTACTTCTCGCATTGTATCGCAGAAACAAATTTTGATTTACTAGGAATTTATTTTTAAGTACCATTCATATGAAGAAGTATCCCCATGATTTGTCAAGGTTCGATTGGTAAGTTTCATCTCGAGGTTTAAAGGTTTGTTTTTCCAACGTTTTTTTAAAAGCATGTTTACTTGGACAAAATCAAATGCCTTCATCTTTAAACGTATACACGTTCAATAGAAGTGGACTCAATGGAACAAAATGTTCCCTTTCATATTCCTGACGTCTTTTCTCTGATCACTGAAATAAATTCAGATTCGTTTAAAATAAAATAATTTACATGTTATTTCTCAATACTTAGTATAAAAACTATTATTCTTAAGTGGTGTTTGTTTTCCTTTATTGTTTACCAAAGTCCAACCAAAACGGTTCAAGGTACAAATACTAAATACTTGCATAACAAGGTTTAGTTATATCATGCTTTAAATTTATATGAAATCAAAATTTCAAACCAGTTCCTGTGGCAATTGCAAAAGTTTTACTAAATGGTATAAAAACAGCAGGATCTAATCAGCTCCTTTTATATTTATATATATAAAAAACACACACAAACAACAAGAACAACAAAAACATTAGTCCGGTAATGGCTGTTTTTATTTACACTTGTGTTACAGTAACTGGAAAGAGAAGTCAATTTGTAACCTTATGGCTGAGTACAAACTTTTTCCATCATTCTTCAGAGTGAGTAATAAATAATCCAAGTACAGTTGTTCACATAACAATACAAGATTGTTCAGATTCCATCGGCTATTCTTCTTCATATTCTACCATTGTTCTGTCAAATAGTCACATATGGATTAATTTTGGTCTACTTTACAAAGATCTTATGAAAATTGAACCAACAACTCCACAGCACACTGAAATTTATCTGTAGTACTGCCTACACTCTGTGGAACAGCATTACGATCTTCAAAATCTCATTAATTACTGACCTTAAACGGTTGGGAATATTCAGCAGACTGACCCCTGTCCAGTGCACGAAGTGGTATTTTAATAAATAACTAATGCCATGTACCGGACATTATTTTAGCATCAAAGACAATAAATTCCCAAATGGTTCTGACCAATGACAAGAGGCACAGACAAAGCAGATCTTAAAGTTAAAATGTCAAATATTAACCCTCCAAAAGAAGGGCTTGGTGGGGTCCAGTTTGACTGGAAGCAACAAGTAATACATAGATTGTACAACCACACTAAATGTACAGGTACTAGCTTTTCAATCTACAATGTACAATAAAAAAAGAAGAAAACTTTGGCCTTTAAAAATACTCACTTTCCGAGATTGGTGAATCTAAAACCATGACAGCAAAAATAAAGAAATCCCTTGGAATACTTTTCAACAAATTTGTAACATGTCTTTATCTTGGGTATGAAGGGAATGTCAAATTCTGAAGATACAAACCAATCGGCAACTCTGTGCGTTGGTCCCAGTTGATTAGGGTACAAACACAAACCACAGTCTTTATTTTTGAGAAAATGGTAACTCCCAGTACAAACCTATCAATGAAAGTAGGTTTCAGCACAAACAACTGTCTCTTCCTAATTTACAAATTAATTTTAGACCAGTAAAGAAAGACTATTAGAATTCTTGGTCCTTCTGATGGAAGGCTAACCTTTAGTGTTATCCTATGGAATGAAGGTTAATGTCAGACAAACACTATAGTCCTGTGTAAGAAATTAAAACTTTGTGTGTAAAAGAAAAATATAAAAAAGGACTTTAGATGTAAACCAGAATAGTACAGAAGAAAAACTATGTCTGGGCATTTATTTTAAGGTATGATTAAACCTACATTATTAAAAAAAAAAGGTAAAAAGTACCTTTGCACTATAAAACCAACCTACTAATATTAACCTTAGGCACAAAACTGGTTCACTACTCAGAGAAATATATGTACTATAAAAAGGTGCCTATTGGATGTTAACCTTAAATATAAAACAAATTCTACAAAGGGAAGGGCTAACAAAGAACGATAGAGTTCTGATTGAACAGTGAGACTGCCACAATGAAAGACCACGCTCATGGCAATGGCTAACAAATAAGCCATTGCTGAAAGTTCATACACAAGACACCATGCTGGCCAGCAGGCATGAACTATACTAAAATAAATAACATGGTATATACCACACTACAGTTAAAATACTGTCTGCTACCTTTTATTTTTTTCTTGTTCAAAAGGAATACCTAAACAGATTAAAGTTTAGAGCAATATTTGAGTTCTCTCGTCAAATATACCATAACAGTTTGTTCGCAGCTACCAATTAAGCTATCCATGGCACTAAAATTACGACAACAGCAGGCCTGGGGCCAGCCTGGTCTCTCACATCACTCATTCACACACATTACATATGGCATACATACAAAATGGAGTGCAATATTGGGAGTGACAAAAATGACAATCATGATCAGTTACTTCTAGAGCTACATACAATCTTCTGCTTAAAATAATATATAGTTTCTCAAACCACGTCAAACACAGAAAACACAAGACTCACAAAAATACTGACAAGGTGTGATACAAGTATGTATCTGCCTACCTACAGTATATCACAGGAGTTTTACTCCAATGATATAACATTTTTGTCCAAACTCAAACCAGGTCTTAAAGTTCAAGTTCATTTACAATAAACTTAAGTTTTTCTATAAATCAAGCTTCTAAACAAAAGCACCTTAGCCTCTACACATAATTTATTATTCAAATCCAGTATGAAATTTACCAAACAAAGCAATTCCTCCATTTCTGTGCCTCCACAGAAGTAACTTTTTAATAAGTATAACTCTCCATGCAAGCAACTCACAATATAAGTTGAGGAAAATAATGATACTTTCTTTAAAATGTATCAACAAACTTAAATAAAACTGGTTCAGGTTTGTGCGAGCTCTCAGTCCTTCAGGTCAAACTGAGTAAACCTCCCATGCTGCCCAAGGAGATACAGGGCTACACTACTGAGAGGGACATGTCTCTTAGGACACACCTATAAAGAACAGACAGAAAAAGGCAGACTAGGTTTAACTACAGGAGAAATCAACCAAAACCATCACAGGTACAAAGAAAGATGGGAAGTTTGTGCCATTCTCCAGCTATTAATTGCTCAGGTCCAGTTGTAGTGACCAGGGATATGGCCCTGGCTGTAAGAGCCACTACTACTGCCCAAATATTGGGCTGTGCCAGCCATGTGAGCCTGATTATAATTAGGTGCAGGAGCTAGCACACCACTTGGCAAGGCAAAGTTGGGCAAGCCATGCTGGTTGTAGCTCATTTGAAGGGCTGCACTGTGGGCAGGAGAGAGTTGGGCCAAGGACATGGGGGTGCTAAAGGGAACACTGTTGGGATTTGGTGGAGTAGAGCCCATCCCAGGACTGGGACTCATAGAATGGGTATGTGGAGACGGGGCTCCAACATGGGTAGGAGTTGATTCTCCAGAGCCAGGAGCTGAATGAGATTGTGCTGCCATCTGTGGAGTTCCAGGTGCCATTTGAGGAGTTCCAGGTCCTCCACGTCCCTCATCACCACTGATGCTGTCATGACCCTGTTCATCCTGCATGTTTGGTAGCTGCATCCTGGGTTGCTTGGGTAATGGTTCATCAGCACCTTGCTGCTAAAAACACAACAACACATGAAAAAAAAAAGCCCCCAGTGTCTTACCATTAAATGTAAAACTTAAACTCATGAGTTATTCTGTTCAGTAGGGCTAATGTTAAAATAAGGTTGGTTATTTTCAGAATCACCATTTTAGTAATAAAAAATAAATGTGTGTGATAAAAAAAAAAGCTAAACATCCATGGGGTTGGTCTAATGAACTAATCCTGTATTGAACAATTAATGTTTACAAAAACTCCAAGTTTACTAAATGTATCTTCAAAAAATTTAATAAGCATTTAGTAAATACAAAAATTATGTAGTACACAAAAACATTAGATTTTTTGATAAAGTATTTTACTAAAAATTTGTCTATGAATATACAAAGTCAGTCTGGTTCAAACTAGTCTGAGTGCAAACAAGGTGATTTTCATGTTAAGAATACAAATACTTTTTCATCAAAATACAATTTCACATCTGCTCTCATTAAATTTTATTGTGTTATTCCTCTTTGATCATGTAACTACTAAGCTAGCAATTTTGGCATCACAAACATCTAATTTGAACCAGTGCTGCATTCAACATACCATATGACACACAAAAATCGATGTTTAACTGTGTTTTTTTAAATATTTACTTTTAAATTAAGAAATTAAATAATGTATAATACTAAAATTTGAATTATAATCTACAGTTTGATATCAAACTTATTGACATAAATTCAAGAAATAGTAGTTCAATAAAATTTTGAATATGAATCAACAAATGCAATGACATGTCCTTTGACCCATGACCCTTCTGGAGAGGATTAATTGCTCTATCTACAATATTTAAGTTATATTTTCTTTCAACTGCTATATTATTTCATTAATAACAATTCATTTGTAAGTACTCTTATTTTAAACATAACTTCAAAGTTCTGTGAACATAATTGTAAGATGCAGACACTTTTTGTGTTTCAGTATGACATGATTCCTGGTGTAGTGGCATAAGAACAGAAAGGTAAATTGTACAGATGCTTCTATTTTATTCAAGTAGTATGCAAGCTGTTAATGCCTTATTACCATATCTCCACACCAAGAATAGGTAATCTACATACCTTATCCAAATATCAGGTTTACATTTATGTCTTTTGTTTGAAAATCATCCATATATATATATATATATGTCACATTTTTTTTCCCCCTGTAAACTCCCAGTGGAGCATAGGGCCGCTACAACACCTCACCAACGGAAGGTGTTGTTGCAGTTACTTGTAGCAGGTTGGTTTTTACGGGGTGGAGTTGCTAGCCCCACGCCCAACCCTCCCCCTTCTCATCCTGGACTTGGGACCAGACAAAGACGGAGGTTGGCATGTTTGGTGTGACGAGGATTCGAACCCGCGACCCTCAGATTACGAGTTGAGCGCCCTAACCACCTGGCCATGCCGGACCCGTATATGTCACATAACAATAGTGAACGTGGGGATCCAAATTTTAACACAGTATGTAAGATATTTCATATTTTAACATTATACACAAGTGCCAAGAAAAAAATACTTATCTGTGATGTGCCTAATACATGTGTTGAAACCTAATTTTTTGCATTATAAGCCTTCACACTTACTACTGAGCCACTGGAGAGCATGAAACGTGTACTGAAAAAGCTCCAAATAAGCTAGTCATATATTCATTTCATTATTATTTATTTCTCACTGAAATTTACTAGCATGTCTAATCTATCTGTTAACATATACAAGTGTTACACGTACAGAGAAACAGTCTTTACCAGATATTTAATTAGTGAAATCTGCAGGTTTAACAGTACTGATATTTGAGCTAGTACTACATGTGCCAAAGTTAAAAATTTAATCATTTGATGGTAACACATTTGCTATCAAAGAATAAGCTTGTGTCTCAAAATTAAAATGACTTGTTTTTTATATAGTTTCAAAATTTGAGAGAAAGGTTCTCATTCAGCAAATTAGGAATGAAACCCCCCCAAAGAGTAGACAAAAAAATTTCTATAAGCTTTCAGATGAATATGCAGATCAGAATATTTTATAGAAATCATATGACTAAAATGCTTCTTAAAATTAAGCTAAGTAAGTGTTAATTTTAAAAGTATATGGCACACGAATACCTATAAAAAGCATGGTAATATCATGATTATAATATCAAAAACTTTGCACTTAAGTTTTTGATTAAAAAATATGGGTTTTTATAGACTTTCACTTGGAGGCCTAGTATCCCTTTTAGAAATATGATATTGTTTTTAAGTTAAGCTGCAAAACTTTAAATGGGTTGTAATTTGTTGATGTTAACTATTACACACATACTGCAACAGCACATTTCAAAAAAAACTTAAGCAGCAAATGACAAAGAAATAGAGTAAAAAGTAAGTAAACAATTATAGAAAATGAACACAAAAGGTAAATAATGCAGAAGTAAACAACCTATAGAATAGTTTAAGAATAATTAGTAATTTTGATTCATGGAAAAAATTTAAAATTTGGAATAATGGAGAGAAATAAGTTATTTTAAATGTTATTGTGAAAATACGAGACCAACACAGACCTATATGTTATCAACTTTCCGAACTGAAATCACAGATCTGACTGATAATGCAGCTTTCTTTTATATACATTTCCACTTTCTGTGACATAGGAGTAACAAGTAGTTTCTTGTAGTGGTTTATCTTTCTTAGATAATAGTAACTAACCATATTTTGGAGAAAATAAAGAAATAACTGGTCCTCCATAATATCCATTGTTACTTACCTGTCTTCTATAATCTTCCATCAACTCCTCATACCGTAGTTTTTCTTCATTTTGGCTTTCAATATAAGGTCGCTTTTCTTCTTCTTTCATGTTTCTCCAACGTTCCCCACCTGCAGGAAGTATTAGAATGCAGTAACAAAAATAGTTTGAGCTTTCTACAGTTCATCAAAAAGCTAAGAAATGCACAGAAAGCCACGAAGAATTTAAATTAGTCTAACTGACAAAATTATGACACTTAACTTTCTTAATTCACAAAAGTGCCTCCTCTTCTGATATATGGTAACTTTGTTAAAACACAAGTTACTGCTACTAGTCAAATACATATTAAATTATTACCAAAAACAATTTTTGGTTGACTATAACATTTAGACCAATACGCTATTCATTTGGAAGAATTAACATAATGAGACTTACCTAATTTGGCCAAAGCTGCTACACCTCCCTCTGGCTCTCTACCAGCCATCTCTCGCCGAAGATCTTTCATGAACAACATAAATGCCGTGCCAGGCCGCTTTGGTTTGTTGGCATCTCGAGCAGGCTTATATATTGCCATCTAGTTAATATACATATAACTTAAGCATCCTATAAGCAACATCCATATCTATGCAATGTACAATAACAATAAAAATAGCACAAATATATTGGTTATCTCTTCACACCCTGAAACAATAGATACATTTATTTTTTCCCTGATTACATCTCATTGACCAATTAAACTCTAGTTTCTTCTTTTCAACTATCATCATTTACCAAATTCAAAATTTCACATTTAAAGTATTGACATAAAAACTGCTAATCCATTTCATTACTTAAAAAACCTTATATTGAAGTTTTTCCTGAACATACAAAATGTCACCAAATTTAAACTACATTTTTAAAAAATTCACATACCAGTAACTATACCTATCACAACAAAGTTAATACTTTTCCACAGCCAGACATACTGGTTTAATTTTTTGTGAAAGCTACCAGTTAAAAAATGAACAAATAAAAACATACAAATTGAAGTTATTGCTATTCATCCTGGTCATCATTTTCTAGTTGTGGTATTAAAAATAATCAGAAATGACATTAGGTTCTTTGTACGTACTCAAACCATAGAACATAATAAAACCTTTGGCTAACTTCCTACAAGGCTGACAAAAGATAAGCATTCCATTACAAACATCAAGACTTAAACCACTCATAGCATTATTAGCAAACCATTTTTTTTAAAATTCTAACTGAACCAATGCCTATTAAAAACTGTCCCAGTTAACATATTTTGTTACTTGCATTCATTGATACACAGATGGCTCATAATCAGTATTCATAATCACAGTTTTTTTTCAACATGGAAAGAATATGGAGCACAATGGATGTAATCTTACATATTAGGAACTGAAATCTCTATTTCTTTTCAGTAAAAAATCTGTTTTTAATAATTTTAACTATAATCAAAATACAGTTTTTATATTAATATTTTTCCATGGTTTATACTTATCATGTGTTTTCATAACCTAAAAATGAAATTCAATTTTTAAAACTTTGAAAGCCTGGACATTTCAATAACAGAATTTCACAAGATCCAACCCAACTGATGAGTTCTGGTACCGAACAAAAAACTTACTGTGCAGCAACATGTGGAAATACTATCTTTACACACTTCTGATTTTGATGTGCAGTGGACAAATTAAGAGCAATGTGGGGAAAAAAAAATCTACAGCTAACATATTTGTATAACAACTTTTAGTCCTAATGGTTTTCAAATATTTTGCAGGCTTTTGGCATTTAAATCCAAACTTTTACATTTCCTAGTGTACACGATAATAAAAATATTCACATTTTATCCTTTTTTGTCATATCTTAAAGATCACTGACCTCCCTCTTGTAACGCTCTCGGTCTTTGGCTGCTGAATCCAAAAAAGGCTGTTTATCTTCCTCTGTCATGGAGTTCCATTTAGCTGCACATTCTTTGCCAAATTCACCAATCTGTAATAAACAAATAATCTCTAACAGGTTGAACTGTAATCAACCTAACTGTTTTGAATGTTCCAGTGGTACTAAACAAGGTATTGATCTGCTCCTCTTTAATAGCAAAAGAACAAAAATGTCATCTTCTTTAACACAGAAACCTCTTAATGTATATATCTATACAGTAATAGAAGTTTAATGTGAAACACATGTCAAAACTGTTTTGGTCAAGAAGTCAGCTGCACAGCTATAGCTGTAACTTTTCAAACTATTGTGTAAAAACTTTATATATTAATAACCCAACAGAAATAACATTAGAGGTGAGGATTAAGTTTTAATAACAAATATTTAACCTTAGCATCTAGACATAAAGCTGCTTCGTTTCAAGACATTTGGGCAACATTTTGCTACAAGCAAAAGTACCCATCCTCAGTGATGGGAAAAGGGCCATTGAGATCTATTTCTGACGCTGAAGTTGAAGATAATCCTGAGGAAGAATTTGTTCTTGTCCAACAAAACAACCACAGAAGCTGACTACCATATTTTTCGGAATATAAGACGAACCCTTATTTAAAAGATTTTTATTGAACAAAAATTCAATTTGATACTTTAAAAATTAGTATATATTGTTCTAAATACAAAAGAGCTCATTTGAATCCAAGGCAAGCACTCAAAAACGATTTTTTATTTGTTAAAGTTAGGCCTGAAACGGCCTTATTCCGCTCCACATTAAACAGGGATCGCCGTGTATTTACAAAGCTTTTTCGCTCTCGTCCATTACTATAATTTATTCTTCTATTATTCAGGGAGCATTATAAATAGTTACGTTTTTAAAAGAAAAAACTACTATTGTTATAAATAACACATTCAATTGAACTAAACTATGCATGCCTATTTAAATATATTTACACATGGCTTGTGTATATTGTATATATATACATGTATATTATTTATACCTTCGGTGTATAGGACGCAAGCAGATTTTGACATCAAATTTTGGGGTAAAAATGAGTCTTATACACCGAAAAATATGGTATGTCACTGAAGGTGTAAAAAAAGACTATAAAGATGATTTGTTGAAATTGGCTTATGGTGGTAGCAAGAGATTATTTATTGGGTGATGTGTACTAGATACTACAGAGATAGGTATTTAGTCATTTTTGGAAAGAAAAGCTTTCAATGTTAAAAAAATGTGAGCAGCTCACTTTAGAAAGGATGACTAGATCAATTTCACTTTTTGTTGAACTTGACTGATCTTCAGAAATAGCAACTTTTTTCTTGCCCAAACTTTGGCCTCAGGGTTTAATTTTCATTTTTTTACTCCAGACCTAATCTAAGCTGCAGTAAAGTGGAGCCTATTAATAAGATTAACAATGAACAACAAACAATTTAATATGTTTAACCATTAGAAGTATTAGGCATAACAAACAAGATGTGATAACTCAGTTTTTTCTGTAGTGAATTTAAACCCGATATATTGATATTTCTTGAATCATGGTGTTGTCAAGAAAAGCCTCCTCCCCCTTTATTAAATTATAGTGGGCATGGTGGTGGAATTGTCACATATAAATGTTCTGGCATACAAGTATAAACCTAATTCAATTCTAAAAGTATAAGGTAAAAGTAAATGTTACTCTTTAGTTCTATAGATCTCTATCAATGTCTAAACAGTAAACGGTAAAGCCTGAATCCACGAACCTAAACTCTACAATCAGTTCAGTATTAATATTTCAGTCAATCACGGACATACTCGATCTACATCTCCCTGCTCTAAAAGCACCTGTCGCCACGTGATCATTCAACGCCAAGTACAGCAGAAGGAAGAAAAAATACCAGTGCCAACAAACAACCCAGCGAAACTCTCTGTCCTTCTCTTCTTCTCCACGTCTCCTCACAGCTTTTCCCGCCACTTGTGAGTTTACTAATGTGAAAATTACCCATTCAGCAACTATAAGCCAACTCCTTCACTCACGTAAGCGTTTAATACTTAAAAAGCCTCGGCAACCTATTTCTAATCATAGAGTGTGGTGAAGAGAAACAAATGTTTCTGACCGCCCCTGGTTATATTTCATTCCCCAAAGGGGAATGAAATATATTACTAACCTAAACACCTACCAAGCCAAAAGTAAAGTAAGTAATTCTGTTAATATGATTGATCATATTGAATTATGTAGTTTTAGTATTGAAAAATTTCATACATTTTACTGTATTTATCGTCCACCTTCAGGTAAATGGTGATTTTACACACACATTAGGTTCACTCATTGATAATATTAATTTAGATAACTCTGTATCATCTTTGAGTGATTTTAATGATAATATAATGATATTTTTACAAATTGTTGTGATGTAGTTCCTGACATAATTTGCTGTGATATTTCAGATCATTATGCTTCCCTGTGTCATTAATTACACCAATGTTTATAACTATATACAAAAAAACATTAGTGTTGACAAAGTGAAGGTTTTTAACTTGCCTTAAATGATGTTAATTGGAACTTACAATAAATATTTTGAACTTTAGGTGCTTGTTCAGCATTAAGTTGCCAATCACAAAACTAGGTGTTTTACATAAATGTTTTCAGGATGAGGACTATCGTAACATATAGAGATTCATTAACAAACAACTGAGTATGACTAAAGAAAGTAATACCAAGATTACATGTATTTGTAGTAACATGAGGTGTTGTGTTACTTATCCTGCTGATATTACTAATATTTTTAATGGTTATTTTCCTAGGCATTAAGTGTCAGGATACACCTATAGTTCAATTTATCTGGCACTTTTAACTGTGACTGAAATTGATGCAAGACACTCTCTAGTTCTTCATCTGCTGGATGGGATGATGTTCTACCAACAATGATTAAATCTGCTAGTGACAAATTAACTGTACTTGTTAATAAAGTGTGTATTACTGGTAAATTTCTTATGATTGTACCTATCTACAAGTGTGGTGGTCCTGATCGTGTGGAAAATTATTGGCCTCTTTCCATCTTATCTGCTTTCGCTCATACAGTTGGGCTTGTACTTTACAATGGAATTATTATTTCTTCAGAAAAATACGGTTTTAAGTAATTCATAATTTAGTTTCAGTAATCACAAATCTACAGAAAAGAATTGGCAATTACTACAAAGCTGATTAAGGCTTATGAGACCAAAAAATTTGTTTCAGTTTGTCCCCTAGCCAAAGCATTTGACAGTGTTAATCCCACAGTTTTTACTTTATAAATGTGCTCATTACAATCTACATTGTAATATTTGATATTTTTAGAATATACTTGATAAATAGACAATGTTACACCTCAATTAATCTTTCTAGTACGAATGGGTGAATTCCACCCAGCCCGTATTCTCAAAAGTAACCATAAAAAGTGGTTATACTGTAACTTTTTAAATTGTATATGTATCTTCATGAAATTTTGCAGATTATCAATAAACATCTCAAGGCATTCACACACAAAGTATCCTATTTTTTAATTAATTATTTGCTCGAGTATCTTTTATTTTTGAATGTTGACTATCCAACATGCGAAGTACTTTTAATCTTAAGATTAAAAATACTTTTATGCATCACAAAATTGTGAAATAACTGTCAAACATTTTTTCAAGAAAAAAAACTTTATTTCATCTGTTATTTTCACTATTGTATCTGTATGGCTTTGGTCGATTCAACCGACCTTGTAACCACCATAAAAAATAGGAAATAGATCTAAATTATGCTTTTCTCATTCTAGAATTATTAAAAATTATAACACAAAACCACAAATAGATTAAATCTCATAACATTTTATATATATAAAAAATTTATTATTTTTTATGTTATTGACCTTTCATCAGTGTCTGACCAACATTACAAAAGTTGAATGATGCGGCACACGTGCACTCATGTTAATATATACAATGATATAAAACTGGCCTTTACAAAGTGACCTGTATTGGCTGTGTTCTAATGGACTAGTATTTTGAAAAATACAGTCACATTTCAGTTATAATACATTATATATGTATATACATTATTACTATTTACAAATAAGTTCTTAAATTTCAATTTTTTTCTTAAAACATTGAACAGTAAATAAAGTACAGAAATCAATTATCTCTTCCAGTTACGAACTTTCTACTTGTTTGCTAAGCCTTGTCAAGTTTCGTATGTGGGA